TCAAGCAAATAAAAACGCTAAAATGGCATCAAAATGGATATCAACATATCATACATATTGGTAGGTAATGAAGGAGGAGAAGAAGATAGAATCTTAGGAGATGAAAAGATACCTTGATACAGGAATGTACGGGTTGCAAAACGAAGAGAAGAGTGCAGATATATTATCCGAGTAATTCTCTGAAAGTTGCGGGCCACAATGGGATTAGGAAGGCCAACCGGGGGTATAAATAGGTTAGGCTAGACTTTGACTTAAATAGGCCAAACCTGTATAAAAAATATTGAGTCTGGAATGGCCTGTTAACCTGTGTAGGTCCCAAATTATACATGTGGCCTGACCTATATTTAAAAAATAAAAGTCTTGGCCTAGGCCTGTTAGCCTGTTTAAGCCTATTAAATTTTCAATAATTAAAAAAATAACTAAAATAATATTACTTTATTATTCAAAATTATTGAAATAGTAATTTTATTTATTTTATTTAAAATAAATAATATGATATAGGCCGGCCTGTAGGTTTATAAACCCGATATGTAAAAAAAAAACTTATGGCCTATTTTCTAAATAGGTTTTTTAAGATGTCTAGGCCTATTCTATTTTACTATTTTTAACAGGCTAAGCCTGGTTTAATATAAGTTAGGCCGTAGGTCCCTGTAGGCCGGCCTAGCTCATTTACTCCCCTGGGTATAACTATAGTATACAATTTTAGAGTTTTCCGTTTTCCGTTTTCCGTTTTTTTTTAATTTATTTATTGTAATTTGGCATTGACATTTGACAGGGTCTTCATGTGATGACTCTTTGTCAGATTCAGTTGCTAAGAGAGGCAAGCAGACATCTAAGCCACTCCGTTGCTTCACAATCACATATTTCTTCCATGCAACCGTACCAACTTTTCTCTCCGTTTTTGTTACGATTGTAATGTGTTATAATGAGGTTTACAATTATAGCATTATCGCAATATTAACTTAAATTGTTATGATTTTAATACGTTACCATGATAGCATCAATGATGATTACAATTCTAACTTTAGTATTAAGTCAACATCAAAATTGTTATGATTATAATGTGTTACAATTGTAGCATTTATAATGATAATTACAATTCTAACTAACATTAATGCTATAATGGTAACAACTTTAATGTTGATTCATTTTTACCCGTTTGACATTTGGATGATATTATAAGAATAATATATATATATATAGAGGTAGGATCCTTTGACACTGGTGACAAATTTGACACCTCATTTGAGAGTCATTAGATCAAAAAAGATCAACGACTTTGATTTGCAAGCATGTGATACCATTGATCTTTTTTGATCTAACGGCTCTCAGATGAGGTATCAAATTTGAAATTTGACACCGGAGTCAAAGGATCCTATCTTATATATATATATATATATATATATATATATATATATATATATATATAGGCAAAATGATTTGTAATGTGACTGTATATAAACATTGGTGCAGTCACTTAAAAACTACATCATTAATTTGGGTGGGATAAAGAAAATTCGCGTTCAAGATTAATTGTTGAAAATAAAAATATTATATTTATTTCCACATTTGTATGGTTGTGATTTCTCATATTTAATGCTTTATATTTATTTCCACTTTTATATGGTTTTAATTCCCTATATATAATGCTTTCACACTATAAATTGACGTAATTTTATATGACTGCACTAATCCTTAGATGCAGCCACTGTGCATCCACTTAGGGTGTTCATCAACCGATCCAAACTGATTCAAACCGCAGTAACCAAACCGATAACCGAATAAACCGAAAACCGAAAAACCGAGAACCGAATAAAAACCGCAAATTTTAATTGGATTGGATCGGTTTTTGGATGGGTTGATGAAAACCGATCCAATCCAAACCGATCTAATATATTAATTCCCCTCTACTTACTTGGGTCTTTCCTCCCATCATAGCCCAAATTTTTTTAAACCCAAGACCTATTAACCCATCAACTAAACCCAAGAAAAAACCTAGTCACATCTCATCAACAAAAATTTACTTGTGTAAAGCTTCATATCTCATTGCCAAAAAAAAAATTATATTATCATTTACTTTTCTGTTTAATTTTTTTTTACAAAGCCTATTATACAAAAAAATGTTATTTGCACAATAACTATAAAACAAATTTTAAGATTTTCAAAAAACCGAAAACCGATCCAATCCAAACCGAAAAAAATTGGATTGGATCGGATCGGATTTGAAAAAAAATCCAAACCGAATGGATGATGACATGATCAAACCGAAGAGATTGGATCGGATGATTTTTCCTTCCAAAACCGATCCAATCCAGACCGCGAACACCCCTAGCATCCACTAAACCCATATATATATATATATATATATATATATATATATATATATACACATGGGGACGGTTATACTTACCACCAGGTAAGTTTACCACCCTTACATCCAATCTCCTGATCATTAGATTAAAATTAAATCTAATGGTTCATAATTATCCCTTATAATTCTAATTTTTTCTCTCTCATCCCCTATCTGTCTCTCTCTCTAGGTTTGGGAATCAATCCTAATTTTTTCTCTCTCATCCCCTCTCTGTCTCTCTCTAGGTTTGGGAATCAGCTATCTCGTCCTCTCTTTATTGTTACAGTGCTTTAATCTTCAATTCCAGCAAAAATATGTTATATTATTTTGGTATGCTCATATGTTATATTATTTTGAAATCGATACAATTAAGATTAATAGTTGTTATATTATTTTGAAATTGATAAAATTAAGGTTTGAGAATCGACAACACTGCTAACAAAATATGGCTAATCCTACTATTTCATCACAACCTTAAAGTAATCAATACAATTCCAGAAAGAAGTATATTCATTAATAGTTGTTAAGAATCCACAAAAATTATTAAAATAATTGATAAATTATCGACATCAACATCATGGACAGTAAAGAAAAATAAAATGAGAAAATATGTATACAGGTGCCCCTTGCTTGAAATGTGTAGCGCCACCGGAGCATATCTATGATTCGCAAAGTTGGGTATAATTTGCATTGGAGGGTATTTTATAGACTTGTGTTGATTTGATGAAATATGTGATTAGAAAACCAATTTCATTGGAGAATCTCATCACCTAAAGGGTATTTTATAGACTAAGGGGGTATATTGGATTAGGATTTTAAAAGACTTTTTTGAGATAAAAAGTCCTACAGATTTTAAAAGACATTTTAGAATTGGAGAGACTTTATAGACTTTTTTAGAAGCCTTTTTTTACAATCAAGATTTCATATGATTGTATTTTAAAGGATTTTAATAGAATTCATAAGATTTGAAAAGACAATATGAATTTATAAGATTTTAAAAAACTATATGATTTTTAGCAAATATTCAAAATTATAAGAGTCAATAAAAACAAATAACAAAGAAATGCAATGATATTAATAAAAAAAAGTAAACCTAATATAATTTTCTCAATTAGTAAAACATAATACAATTTTTAACAAACATTCAAAATTACTAGACAACTGCTTTTCACATATCTAATGGGTTGAAAATTATCTTCCTCATTTGGTATCAAAGTTATGCATATATGATTATAAGACCCAATTTTTTTAATTATAAAAATAATTCTAAATTTGCATATAGAACCTAAATTTCATGATAAAAGTTCGTTTGAAATTTTTTGCAATTGATCTTGAAAACCTTGGGGTTTTTGTTTTACGTGATGAATGTTTTCTAACCATATATCATATGCATATTTTCATTGAATATTCTAAGAAAATTTTGAATATGAAATTTTGGGTTTAATTACATGAAAGTTTAGAAAATTTCTCAAATTTTTTTCAGTCGATACATTCAAACCTTAAATTGTTTTGGAACTTTTGAGAAACAAATTTTTAGTTATCTATTTACACAAAAATTGTTTGAAATTGTTTCCTATAGTGAAGAAATTTCGTTCATAAAAGTATTGTTACGAAATATAGGGTTCATATTAAGAAAGTTTCAATCTTTCTTAAATTGATATTGCTTCATTGATGTAAAAGGAAAATTGACTTGAGGGTTTTAGTTTCCCTGTTATTTTTTCATTGTTTTATGTTGTTTTTAATACAAAAAGCACGTTTTTGTGCCAAGAAAAACCGCGACCCATAGCTTGAAAAATCACTTTTTAAACTTCCAAAATTTCTCAAAAATTTGGGTTGTTTTGTGATGAAAATCCTCAAAAATATGCTCTTTTTTTTTAGTTTTGACGAAGCTCCCATGACGGAACCCAATTTCGAGCAGTCAACCTGTCGAAGGAAGAAGAAAACACTGCAACAGAAGAATCTCAAGAAATCCTAGGGGTTGGGGTGAGATTGTGAGAGAGACATCCTATTTATATTTTTCACTAAAAAGTCTCACGAAATCCACACCAATAGAAAATCCATTAAAATCGTCGGATTTTTGAGTACCACGAGATTGTGATTCCTTTGTTTAAAATCCTGATTGAATACCAACAAATTTGGATGGATTTTAAAATAATCCTTTAAAATCCTAATTGAATACCACGTGACTTTTTTTCAATCCTTTAAAATCCTAATCGAATACCAATGGATTTTTTTGTCCAAAAAGAATCCATTAAAATCCTTTGAAATCCCAATCCAATAAACCCCCCTAAGTCAAACCAATTTCATTAGAAAATGTCTAAAGCGCACAACGTTGGAATTAAAATCAGAGTTGTTACAGTGATTTGATGTCTAAGTCAAACCAATTTCATTAGAAAATATCTAAAGCGCACAACAGTGGAATTAAAATCAGAGTTGTTACAGTGATTTGATTTCGAAAGCACACAACAGTGCAAGAGAGGATGAGAGAGGTGATTCCCAAACCTAGAAAGAGAAAGACAAAATTTTGTGGTGAAAAATGAAATGAAGGTCGCGTAGCCTCACGCGCGCGAAAACTTTACCCTCTGCTAGGGTTTCTGGGTTTTGTCGATCGCAATCAATGGAGTCGGTGAAAGTGATGATTCAAGATACGATGGATGAAGATAGAGTCAAGGCTTCGAGAAAGAGGGTCCTTTCCGAAGAGGATCTCGCGCTTCGGAGCGGCAAGAAATTGAAGGGTGACGTCATGGTTGACTTGACCATGGATGAAAGTATGCAGGAGAAGGGAGAGGGGGGATCCGTATCCCAGTCGTTCCCGGGGGGGATTCCGGATGAGATCAAGGTGGGGTTGAAGATTAACTCCCCATCAGTGTCATCGTATAAGGACAAGCTCCTTAGGTTAAATGGGAAAGGAGGTCAAGCTGATTGTGAAGAGGAGGACTGGATCATGAAGCAAAAGAAAGATGATGAAGAAGCAGATCTCATGGAGGGGCTGTCTCATGATCTTCTCGAAGATCCACTCTGTCCTAGGTACACCTTCTCACTGGAAGAGCACAAAAGCGATTGTGAGATATGGAGGAAGGCTCTTATCATTAAGATGCTTGGTAAACGAATAGGGACCATATTCCTGATGTCAAGATTGGTAAGGTTGTGGTGTCTGGTAGGTCCTCATGAACTTATTGATCTTGATAATGGCTATTTACTCCTGAGATTTCAAGACGATAGTGACTATCGCCATGTACTGGAAGAAGGACCATGGATAGTGAATGATCACTATGTGACCGTGCAAAGGTGGAGGCCATTCTTCGATCCTTATGATAAGGATTTCAGGAAGCTTGCTATGTGGGTTAGGATTCCAGGACTACCTATTGAGTTATATACAGCTAGGCATCTCTTGAGAATTGGAAACATCTTTGGTAGAACACTTAAGGTTGACAGAAATTCACTCAGGAAGAGTGATGTGGGGGAAGGTGTGATCACCGAAAGAGGGAAATTCGCTCGAATTTGTGTAGAAGTGGATTTGAGGAGGAGCTTCCTGTCCAAGTTCAAAATTGGCAGTAAAGTATACCATGCTGGGTATGAGGGCTTACACCTCATTTGCTTCAAGTGTGGGGTGTATGGTCATAGAAAGGACCAGTGCTCAGTTGACCAAGGAACAACTAGCAACATTGGAAAAGAGGTTACAGGTAAGGATGTTGTTGATCCTGGGAAACCAGAGAAAGTTATGGTTAAAGAGGAACAGGAGGAGGCATTTGGTAGTTGGATGGTGGTCCAGAGGCAAGCTAGAGGGTGCAAGCTTAAGGCTAAGCCTGTTAAGCAAGGGGCTGTTGATCTGGAGGTTCAGAGTTCTTCTCCCAATTCTGGGATCCTGCTTGAGGCCAACCTCACTAAGGACATAGGTGAGGCTGTTTCAATTTCCCCCAGTCAGGAACAGGACCCAGGTAGTCAGCCTTATCCAGTCTCTTGCAGTGATCACTCGAATAAGGGTATGGACCTTCCACCTGCGAAGGCTTCCAATGAAGGAGCTCCTGCTGGGGTTGGTATGCAGAACAAGTCTAAGTCCCCGAAGAGGACCCTTGCTAAGGAGACTAAGGATAAAGCCAAACCTCAGGCCAAAGTAGCTTTGAGGAAATCTGGAGCCGAGAACATCCCTCCAAATTCTGGCCTGGATGGTAGCTTAAAGGTTCCTGGGAAGAGTAAGGCTAGGAGTAAAACAATCCAGGAAGTGAAGGAGCCCTCTGCTCCTGGGAGCAGCACTCATGCCAGGAGAGAGCAAGGTGTTACTATTCAGAGTCTATTGGGTAATTCTGTGCCCAAGTAGTTTGAGTTGGATCCTGGAATTGTCCCCAATGTGTTTGGGGGTTCACCTTCCTTCTGACCTTGAGGTATGCCTCTTAGGGCTTTTTCCTTTTGTTTTGTTTACCTATTAATGGTTTTTATGTCAATCTTTTCTTGGAATTGTAGAGGGGTTGGGAAGAAAAGTTTCCCACCTCTCATTAAGGATTTAAGTCATAGGTTTAATATTGGTATTATGGCTTTGCTGGAAGTCAAGATTGGTGGCTCTAGAGGAGATAGTATCATTAAGCAGTTGGGTTTCTCTAAGTCTTTTAGAAATGACCCTGTTGGGTTCTCTGGAGGTGTGTGACTCCTTTGGGATGATAGCCGAGTAAGGATTGAGATTGTGAAATCTCATTCTCAATTTGTGCATACCAGGGTCCAGTATCTGGATTCTATGAAGTCTGATCTTATTACTTTTATATATGGTAGTCCAAGGAGGATGGAGAGGAAGGTTCTGTGGGAGGAATTAATCTCCTTAAGTCTTTCGGTTGATTCTCCTTGGCTGGTTATGGGTGATTTTAACTCTATATTATCTGGTTCTGAGAAGGTTGGGGGGAAGGAGGTGTGTTGGAATAGTATGGCTGAGATGCGACATTGCTTGATTGACTGTAATATCAATGATATGGGGTTCAAAGGGTCTGACTTCACATGGAAGAGAGGAAAACTCCATGAGAGGCTTGATAGAGCTTGCTCCAATGAAGAATGGAATATAGCCTGGCCTAACAGGATAATTTCTCATCTCCCTTATTTTGATTCAGATCATAGACCTCTCCTGTTAGTTAATGATGGTAATTTCAAAACTCGAGTTCTCCAGAAATTTTAAGTTTCTTGCAGCTTGGCTGACTGATCAGGATTTTAGCAACCTTGTGAGGAACAGCTAGGGGAATATTGTGGATTGGATCCCTGCTAGGAATAACTTTGAAACTGAAGCTATGTTTTGGCATCAAAGAGTTTTCAGAAAGAACATCAATCAGAAGAATAGAATTTTCTCTAGACTGAAGGGTTTGGATAGTTACAGTAATGGTAGATTTGACCACAATGTGGATATTATGCAAAGATCTCTCTGGAAGAAACTTCAGACCATTTTAGTGAGGGAGGAGTTGACTTGGTTCCAAAGATCCAGGGTCCATTGGCTAAAATATGGGGATAGGAACTCTAAGTTTTTTCACTCCTCCACTGTGGCCAGAAGAACACACAACAGGATAGTTGCTCTCAAGGATGACCAGGGTAGCTGGATTTCCGATACCAAAGACCTAGTCAACTTGGTTGTCTCTTATTATCAGGAGTTATTCAAAGCTGATGAAGGGTGTGATGGTTTGTTCCCTATGCAGAATATCTTCCCTAGGCTCTCTATTTCAGAAAAGGCAGCTTTGCCTGCTTGTCCTAGTAAGGAAGAAATTAGGAAGGTGATATTCAGAATGGGCAAATTTAAAGCCCCAGGTCCGGATGGGCTGCATGCCTTATTCTTTCAAAGTCAGTGGGATTCTGTTGGTAGCTCAGTTTGTAAACTGGTTGAAGAGATCTTTGATTGCCCTGATAAAGTGAGAGCCATCAATGGTACCCTGTTATGCTTAATTCCCAAGAAAGAGAGCCCAATGAGTATGAAAGAGTTTCGGCCAATTAGTGTTTGCAATGTGATTTACAAATCAATCACCAAGATCATTGCTGAGAGACTCAAGGAGTTGATGCCTAAGATTGTCTCACCGAATCAATGTAGCTTTATCAAAGGAAGGCAAGGTTCTGACAACATAATTGTAGCTCAGGAGGTGATCCACTCTATAAAGATCAAGAAAGGGTGCAAGGGTTGGATGATGTTGAAAGTTGATCTGGAAAAAGCTTATGACAGGTTAAGCTGGAAGTTTATACTGGAAACTTTGAAGAATATTGGTCTCCCTGATTCTTTAGTTCAGTTAATTTATAGCTGCATCTCCACCTCCTCTATGAATCTGTTGTGGAATGGAGTAGCCACCAAGAAGTTTTTACCAGGTAGAGGAATTAGGCAAGGGGATCCCATTTCCCCTTACCTTTTTGTTCTCTGTATAGATAGGTTAGCACATCTTATAGACTTGGCATTGGATACTAAAGCCTGGAGACCCATCAGGTTGAGGAAGGATTCCCCTCCCATTTCTCATTTATTCTTTGCGGATGATATCATCCTTTGTGCAGAAGCTAGCTTAGATCAAGCGCATGTGATTAATCAAGTGCTGAAAGTTTTTTCTGAAGCTTCTGGCCAAAAGGTGAGTTATGATAAAACAAGAGTGTTCTTTTCCAAAAATGTCAGCTTTGGGAGAGCTAGAGAAATCAGTGAGTCCTTGGGAGTTGGTATTACTTCTGATCTTGGAAAATACCTTGGTGTCCCTCTCTATCATAAAAGAGTTACTAGAAACACTTTCAGTTATGTGCTTGAGAGGGTTTCAAAGAAGATTATCTAATTGGAATCAAGCCTCTCTCTCTCTTGCAGGTCGTTCTACCCTTGCAAAGGTTGTCCTAGAGGCTCTTCCAGCTTACACTATGCAGTCTTCTGTGATCCCTGGTGGTGTTTATAAGGAGGTAGAGAAGCTAACTAGGAGCTTTTTATGGGGATCTTCCAGTAATGAAAGGAAAACCCATTTAGTGAGTTGGAAGAAGGTTTGTAAGCCTAAGGCTAGAGAAGGCTTGGGATTCAGGGAACAAGATAGGATCAACAAAGCTTTTTCTATGAAATTGGGATTTGGCTTGATCTCCAAAAAAGAAGACCTTTGGGTCAAGGTTCTCCGAAGTAAATAAAAAGTGAATGGAAACCTTATTCCCCAACTGAATAGCTGTAGGAACAACTCCAATACTTGGAGAGGAATCCTGAGAGTTTGGGATCAGGTCCATGAGGGATCCAGAATTATCCTTGGAGATGGGGCTAGTACTGACTTCTGGTTTGATTTCTGGGTTCCTAAGTTTGGGAAGCTGATTGACAGGGCTTCGGGTAGTATCCCTGAAGAAGTTAGGAGATGGAAGGTGGTTGATTGTGTGGCTGATGGCAACTGGGATATGAATAAACTGAGTCAATTTCTATCCAGTGATACCCTTGCTGTCATTACTGAAGTGGATCCTCCTAGAGAGAATGAGGGGCAGGATAGAGTGATCTGGAATTTGTCAGGGTTTGGAGAGTTTTCTGTGAAGTCAGCTTACTGCATGCTGTCGTCTAATGATGTGTATCAGAATGTATTTGACTGGGATTTGGTGTGGAAATGGAGTGGTCCGCAAAGAATTAAAATGTTCCTCTGGTTGCTATTAGGCAATAGCTTACTTACAAATGCAGAAAGGTTTAGAAGACACATGACAGATTCCTATTTCTGTCCCAGGTGCCACCACCCTTCTGAGGATATTGATCACATCTTCAAAACTTGCCCTTGGGTTCAGGGAATTTGGAACCTGTGGATTGAATCTGGTGAGCTAAGCTATTTCCTTAATGTAGATAATGCTGGCTGGTTTAAGCAAAATTTGAAGAATGGTAAACAGAATGCCTCCTGGAGCTTGAAGTTTGGGGTCATTTGCTGGCTCATCTGGAAAGACAGGAATGCTATGATCTTTAATGATAAGAGTAACTCTCCTCAGGATATATATTATCAGGTATCTAACCTTGTTTCTAGTATTAATCTAGCTAACAATATTCTGTCTGAGGCGCCAAGATGGTTCCTTAAAGGACAATGGAGCTAGGATAACTTGTGGGGGTGGCTAGAGATGCCTCAGGAGGTTGGTTAATAGGTTTTTGTAAAAAGCTGGTACGGGTTCAATTTTGATGGCTAAATTGAGGGGGATGCTCACAGGTCTAGAATGGGCTTGGGAACAGGGGTTCAAACAAGTTATCTTGGAAGGAGATTCTCTAATGGCGTTTCATCTGTTGGAGAATGGTTACCCCAGATTTCATCCTTGTGTGGATCTTCTGGACAGGATTATTTTGCTCCTATCTTTCTGCTGGAAGGTGGAATTAAGCCAAGTCTATAGAGAAGGGAATCAAGTGGCTAACTGGCTGGCCTCCCATGCTATCCCTATGGATTGGGAAGTACTCTACTTTGATTGTCCTCCTGCTGGGTGTAGGGCCTTGTTGGCTGATGATGCTTTAGGCACTGAGGTGCCAAGATGTGTTAGCGTTTAGTTTTGCTTTTTGTTGCTTTCCCTTGTATCCAAAAAAAGAAAAGAAAAGAAAGAAAGACAAAGACAAAGACAAAGAGAAAATATTAGAGAAAAAATTAGGATTATAAGGGATAATTATGAACCATTAGATTTAATTTTAATCTAACAGTTAGGAGATTGGTTGTAAATGTGGTAAACTTACCTGGTGGTAAGTATAACCGTCCCCTATACATATATATTATATATTTTTGTTAATCTAATTTTAATTTTGTGTGTGTAGCATTTTTTTTCTTTGATAGATTAAATGAAATTAAATTTATGTGATTTTTGCTTGAATTAACAAGTCGTGATTCCACTTGTTAATTACTTGAATAATTGAGATATAAGCTGGGTGGTGGAAGGATAATATGGTGCACCACTAAGTCCAGATTTCATGGCTGCTACTACTCACTCAAATGAAAACGTCATCCATGCCACTCGCAACAGGAGAGGGAAAACAAATAAGAGACCTTGTCACTGTCAAACTTGGATAATATGAGCTAGAACTCTTGCTTCCTTGTGTTCTGTACATTAAGCCATCATTATGAACCCTATACTTATTATTATTATTTTTGTTATGGTCAATTTTTTTTTTTTAATTTTTATCCCTTTTTGGGCTGTCGCTAATTTACTTAGCATTCTAGTGACCTCAAGCATGTCTATTATGATAACTGATCACTCATTTCCACTATAGTAAAATTACATTTGATTAATTATTAATTCACTTCATATAATCAATTCACCTAATAAAAAATCCTTTAAATTTGATTTATTAATAATGTTGATGGAAACAAAATTAAATATGATTGGATTTCGGTAAATATAAAAATAAACGTGGCTATTGATGGAAAGTGATTTAATGTAAAAGTATAATTTTTTATATGGTTCTAAATTTAAGTAATTCTAATGCACTTACAGTTAGCTCATTATACCTTACTTAACCATTTATTCAAGAAGCTTGAAGTCAAACAAAATTGTGGCCTAATAAGTTTGGCCCAATTATTAAAAGAAGCAATAATTTGAAATATAACAAATTGCGATCAAATTCAAGTTCAAATGAAGCAGCAGACACGATTATGATTTGTTTGGCAAGAAAAGAAAAAAAACACAGTTGTGTTTTGAATGACTTAATTGTGATTATTTATTTATTTTTAGAAGTTAATTATCATTATATTTATTTTAGAAAATTTTGTTATTTTAGATTTAGAATTTAGAATCTTGGATGAATTTATAATTAGTATATAAAAGCGTGCTTATGACCTTAGGAGTTGAATTTTATTATTTTGATAATTATAATTATAACTGATCACTATTTCCACTCTTTTATCGTATCATAACTTTCTATTTAGCTATTTTTCTATGCACTTATGACATCAAATTCAATCAAAAGTAGTTTAACGCTTGTTAATATGATTTTTAAAAAGGTAATTGATGCAATTAGGGCCCGTTTGGATGAGCTTTTAAAAAAATAACTTTTTATGCATTGCTTTTTTTAAAATAACTTTTTTAAAAGGTAAAGTTATTTTACGTTTGGATGTATGATCTGAAAATCACTTTTACATAAAAAAGTTATTTGGATGTTAAAAAAAACACTTATATATATAAAATTACAATAAAGGAGAGATAAAATAGCATGATCGTGAGATAAGGAGAGATAAAATAGATATGATAAAAAAA